AACCCCCCCCCAAAAATCCCGGGACCCCCCCCCCCCAAATTGGGGGGAAAAAAACCCGGGAAAAAAAAAACCCAAAAGCGGGAAAAAAACTTGGGAAAACCCCCCCGGGAAATTTGGGAAAACTCCCCCAAAAGTGGGAAAACCCCTCCCAAAAAACCGGGAAAATCCCGAATTGGCGGGAAACGCCCCCCCCCCCAAAAAAAGTGGGAAAAGCCCTGAAAAGGTTGGGAAAACTGCCCAAAAAAGTGGGAAAACCGCCCCAAAAAAATTGGGAAAAGCCCCGAAAAATTTGGGAAAAACCGCAGAAAAACGGGAAAACCGCCCCGGAAAAATCCCGAATTTTTAGGGGAAGGCCCAAGGGGGAGGGAATGGCGGGAGGGAAGCGAGAGATGGAATTCGGGCTCGGATTTGGGGTGAAATCAGCTCTTTTATGGCTCCGTGGAGACTTTTCCTACCACAGCGGACGATGGGATGGATGGAGCACGACAGGGACGCGACAAAACCGGGAGAGAGAGGAGGGGGGACACCCCCAAAATCCCCCCAAATCCCGCCAAAATCCCCCCCAGATTCCCGCCAAAAACCCCCCCAAATCCCGCCAAAATCTCCTGCAAAATTCCCTCCAAAATCCTTCCGGAATTCCCTCCAGGTTGAGCCCAAATTTCTGCAAAGTTCCCTCAAAATTCCCTCCAAAATTCCCTCCAAGGTTTTTCCGGAATTGTCCAAAATTTCTGCGAAGTTTCCTCCAGGTTGGTCCCGAATTTCTCCAAAATTCCCTCCCAAATCCTTCCCAGATTTTTCCAAAATTCCCTCCAAAAAATTTTCCGGAATGGTCCAAGATTCCCTCCGGCTTGATCCCGAATTTCTCCAAAACCCCTCGGAAATTCCCTCCAGATTTGATCCCAAATTCCTTCTAAAATTCATTCCAAAAATTAATTCCCAAAATTCGTTCCAGAATCCCTCCGGATTGATCCCAAATTTATCCCAAATTCCCTCCAAAACCCTTCCAAGGTTCTTCCAAAATTCCCTCCAAAACTCATTCCGGGATTTCTCCCAATTCCCTCCGGATTCTTCCAAAATTCCTCCAAAATTCCGACATTTTTCCCCCGAATTCCCAACCCTGCCCCTCCCCCTCGAGCAAAATCCCAAAATCCGGGTGGGGGGAGGGGCGGGACCATCCCCTCCCCCACCCCCAGGGAATTTTCCAGAAATTTTTTTTTTTTTGGGGGGGGGGGGGGTTTTTTTTGTTTTTTTTCGGGGGGAAGGAGAGAAAAAAGGGGGGGCGGGG